TTATTCACGCTTTCAAAAACTTTAATTAAAAAAGTTATAACTTTTCCTTTTTTGGTGTATCTTTAAACGATTTCCAAAAAAAGGAAAATCAGTTCGTCGGAATATTTTTTTTAATGTATATGTATGTTACCGCGCATTACTTTGGACCACGTCAACCGATTTCGTCAACCTTTCTTTTTGCATCGGAAAGGTAGTATCTCAGGGGTTGTCCCATACTAATCTGGTTTAGATCCGATCATCGAATCATGAAATATATATATATATATATATATTTTTTTTTTTATATGNATCTCAGGGGTTGTCCCATACTAATCTGGTTTAGATCCGATAATCGAATCATGAAATATATATATATATATATATATTTTTTTTTTTATATGAGAATTGAAGTCGGTTTTGTTTTTTGCTTAAAAATTACTTGTTTTGTACTATTTTACATACATAAGTATGCTATTAAAAATTCATCAAATGAGGTAAAAGTGAAACAAATAAAAAACGTTTTCGCTGGCTCACATCCAATGTGATTACTGCCGCTAAAGCTTATGAATTTGATTGCTAGATACAAAGCGTCTTGGCGCAAAACGTTGTATATTCGCTCATGCAATACTATATTCATACATATGTATGTATGTATGTACATACACATACATACTAAATATAATGTTTTTTAAATTGTGTTGGTTTTGGTTTTTTCGCGCCAGCATTGGAAAGCGGCCAGCAAAATTTTACGTTATTAAATAAGGTTGCAAATGCTCGATGAAAATTCTGTTGACAAAAGTCAAAAGTCACTCAGTCAGTCCGCCAGCCAGCTAGCATGGCTTAAACTTATAGCAACTCTGTTGCCAGCAAATGCTAATTTCAATTACTTTAGCTATAAATCCATGCATTCCACTCACACCAAAGGCAGCCAGCCAGCCTCCTAGTTATTCACGCTCTGCTCCCTTCCATGATCCATGTGGAATTTAGTGAGCTCATTTCGTTCAAATTATGTATATTTGATATGACATTTGACTTTACTTTTCACACTGCACTTCACTTGCATTGGCATACATTTCATTTTACTATTTATTAAGTGTATTCATAGGCATATGTACATATGTGTGTTTGTGCATGCCTAGCGTATGTGTATGCGTAGCCTACTATTTATGTATGTGAGGTAACAGAAGCACTCGTGCTCTATGGCGTATGAGTAACGTATTTATGCATTGCTTGAATTTTCAATGTGAATGTATGCGTGTTTGCATAAAAATAAAATGAGTTCATACCCAGTACGGCTTAGCTCAACCAATTAGTTCAGAACAAGTAATTTATTTCTGGTTATGTAGCAACTAACTTCAAATTGATGTATAATCATGCAGCAGCGTCTTTGAAATAAACCAATTCAATATTAGTTGAAAAATCATCTAACTTTGGGCAATTAACTATATCAGCATTTAGTACAAGTTGTTTTAAATTCGTTGAAAAGACATCTGCAAAAAGAAATATACTGGCTTTCAAGTGCTTGAAGCCAAATGCATTTTAAAGTAGTCGAAATCAAATGCAGTGTTGGATAATTGACTGCTTGCTAAGACATCGTCATGTTACAGTCAACAGCTCATTCCAAGGAAGAAAGTCAGATTTTCAATTAGTTGTGGTGAGTAAAAAGTTGGCTGAACATCAATATTTAAACTAGTTTTTTCCCGTGCTGGGTTTGTTCGTATGTATGTCTATGCATGCATATATACATACTTATATGAGTCTGTTTGGATGTGCATATGTACTTNATAGCTCAACCAATTAGTTCAGAACAAGTAATTTATTTCTGGTTATGTAGCAACTAACTTCAAATTGATGTATAATCATGCAGCAGCGTCTTTGAGATAAACCAATTCAATATTAGTTGAAAAATCATCTAACTTTGGGCAATTAACTATATCAGCATTTAGTACAACTTGTTTTAAATTCGTTGAAAAGACATCTGCAAAAAGAAATATACTGACTTTGAAGTGCTTGAAGCCAAATGCATTTTAAAGTAGTTGCAATCAAATGCAGTGTTGGATAATTGACTGCTTGCTAAGACATCGTCATGTTAAAGTCAATAGCTCGTTCCAAGGAAGAAAGTCAGATTTTCAATTAGTTGTGGTGAGTAAAAAGCTGGCTGAACATCAATATTTAAACTAGTTTCTTTCCGTGCTGGGTTTGTTCGTATGTATGTCTATGAATGCATATATACATACTTATATGAGTCTGTTTGGATGTGCATATGTACTTTTATAAGCAGGTCACCGGTTGCACAACTTGCCAACAAGTAGAACTTAGTGCAAACATTTTACATAGTTTTATTAAATTTAAAATGAAAATTTGATAATGAATTTTAGTTTGTTTTAAATACTCGGACAAATTCTTCCGTAATGCTTCTTCTTTACCTATTAAATGAGATCGTAAAATATTTTAATTGGTACATATCGTCGCTAGGCACGAACAAAGCCGCGAGCTCAAAGGTTGACCGCGAAAACGAGGCATACAAAAATTTGGCAAAGAAAAACTTTAAACGCAGTTGACGGCGAAGAAAGACACGTTAAACTATTTGACGGCGAAGGAAGTCCCGTAAACTTATTTTCGCTGTAAACTATGTTTGCGGGTGTAACAGTTACCGATTCCCCCAAAGAGTANAGGACTAATTTTTCCGTAATGCTTCTTCTTTACCTATTAAATGAGATCGCAAAATATTCTCATTGGTACATATCGTCACTAGGCACGAATAAAGCCGCGAGCTCAAAGGTTGACCGCGAAAACGAGGCATACAAAAATTTGGCAAAGAAAAACTTTAAACGCAGTTGACGGCGAAGAAAGACACGTTAAACTATTTGACGGCGAAGGAAGTCCCGTAAACTTATTTTCGCTGTAAACTATGTTTGCGGGTGTAACAGTTACCGATTCCCCCAAAGAGTATTTGAGGAATGATGCTAAAAAAAATAGACCGTGCACAGGAGTAAATCTATATTTACGCGTCTTTCTTCCCCGTATTTGTTTTAACGTGTCTTTTTCGTACCTTTTTTCAACGTGTCCTTTTTCGCCGTCAAAACAGTTGCTCGTCTTTATTCGTGCCTAGCGAGAAATATGTTCCCAATATGGCATCAACATTTTGTAAAATGTTAAATGCCATCTCAAAATGTATGGAAATTCTCTGCGAATTTAATTGCACTGAGAATATGCTATGGGTAAAACGCAAGTTTTTAAAAGAAATCGTAATAAATTTTGTTTGAAATAATTTTACTTCATACAAAATAAAAAATGCACTATTTGTGTTTACGACTTTAAAACGAAATATTCGAAAAACAAAAGGCAACCTTAGAATATATTTTATTTTGGACTGAGGAGAACAGACGAAATGAAAAAAGTAACGCCAAAATGCGTATTTCCAAAACAAAAATGAGACGAGCTTTGTCAAAAAAAAAAAAACATTTTAGACATTTCTTTTCAGTTTGAATGTGTACGATGGTCACGTTCGACATGATGGATATGACTATATTTATATGGGGCGTTCCATACCAAAATGGACGGGGTTCACACTTCATGTGATTTATTTAAAATTTTTAGGGTTGATGGACAACAAAATCTAAAAATTAAATTAGAAAAAGAAAAAAATTAAATCAAAGAAGAGGAAAACAGTACCAACTTGTAAATAAAACAAAATTAAAAAATATTTTTATTAAAAAAATTTTTTTTTAAATTAAAATAAAATATCTAAAAATTAAAAGAAAATAAAATTAAATAAATGCGAAAAAGAATAAGAAAATTAAATTAAAAAGATTTCAATGAAAAAAAATTTTATTAATAAGAAAACTAAATTTAAAAAAAAGAAAAATAAATAAAATCAGTCTCTAAATAAAATAAAAAAACATTTTTTTTTCTTTTTTGAGCAATAAAATTTTGCAACAAAAGAAAATTAAACTACAAAAAAATAACTTAAAAACAATATCATCTAAACATTAACAGAAAGTTAGATTAAGTAAAAAAATAACTCTAAAAACAAAAAAAATGCATAAAATAAATTTTTAAAAATTAAACGAAATCAAAAAATATGTATTTTTTCTTTTTACAACAATAAATCTAAAACTTATAAAAGAATATTAAATTAAAAAGGAAACAAATTTAACACAAAAAAAGAAAAAAAATTCCGCTGCCCGTAGACTTGAACTCGGATCTCTCGAAAGGCACGCCCGTGCTTTGCTCACTCGGCGACTGTTGAGCTAAATGATATACAAGTGCTTTCTCTCAAAATAGCTTTTCACCACGAGTGGTGAATAAAAGAGCTTTTCTTCTAAGATTTTTGTAATATAATAATCAAAGTCGTTCTACTACTTTTCTTGTCAACTGTCTTTTATCTTACGAAACATAACTTACTATCTTAGCCAGAATTACTCTGTTTGAGCTCATTAGTCTAATACCAGACCACAGCCCAACTTCTATGGGACAGTATTATCGAACTGAGTCAGTCGCCTAAAATTAAATAGTTTTTAGTTTAGTTTCGTTCGATTCAGCAGCTTCGCTCAAACTCGAAAAATATAGCACCCTATATTCTCTTAATTTTGTTTGTACTCTCCATTCGCAAAGATGAATTTTGTAACTTATTTTCATATGCTTTCTTCAAAAAAGCGTTAAACTGTGAAGCGAAAATTTGTATGGCTGTTGATTTCTGTCAAAAGTTCAAACATTTGCGCCCCTACTTAAATACCATTTGGTGCTGCTGCAAGGCACGTAAAGAGACATATTTACCTTAGCGCTCATACATATATGAGTAAACACAGTTATCAGCCACAGATCTTATCTAGCGTTTTAACTAGATTTTGCATAAAAAAAGTATAAGCAACCAAGAGCAGTAGCTATTCCATAGAAATATTTAACTTGACATAAATCCTGAAGCTGCCAGATAAGCGACCAGATAGAAACCTTTGTTTTACTGCAAAGCTATCGCTAGCGCAAAGCAATTCATTTTGCCAGCTACTAGTTTCAAATTAACTGCGATCGTATTAACATAAAATAATTGTAGAGTGTTTTGTTAAAGAAACTCAAGAAATGGCCAACACCAGCTGTTTGCGCGCATTAGCGCTGCTCTCAATTGTGCTGGTAAGCTGCCCTTTGCACAGCGCTGCGCCCAGCAAACGTATAATTTACAGATTAACAGATTGTACCGCCGAGCAATTGCAACATTTACCCAAACTTTCCGCGATCTTTGAGCTATCCGCCGTGACATGCAACATATCAATGCTACCATCTGCCTACTTCAGACGCTTTAGCGCACTAACAGCATTGGAAGTGCGCGAAAGCGGGCTTACAAACATAGACGACAATGCGCTCAACGGCCTAGATCAGCTGCAGTGGTTGTCGCTAGCTTGGAATTACATTACCATCGTCAAAGTGTGGGCCACCGAACCGTTGAAAGCGCTACACATGCTCGATTTGGAAGGCAATGCCATAAGAACCTTGAACGCTGAAAGCTTCAGCTGCTATCCGAATTTGCAATACTTGAGCTTAGCTGCTAATATGCTGGAGCGAATCGACAGTGATGCTTTTACACAGCTTCCACACTTGAAACACTTGAATTTGGCACACAATCGCTTGAGTGTGATTGAATCGTCATCGTTTCGTGGCATGCAACGCCTGGCGCATTTGTCATTGCAGCATAACGGGATTGAGCATGTGGAAGCCGAAAGCTTTGAGACGAATACACATCTGCGCTCGTTGCGCTTAGACGACAATAAGCTGCAGGATTTGGAATTTCTGCGCAGTAAGCCGTTGAAACGCCTTCTGCATTTGAATTTGTCACACAATCAAGTGGAAACGCTTGACGTGCTTGCGACGGGCGAGTGGGCGGTCATGGACTTGGATGTGAGCTACAATCGACTGGAGGAAGTGCAGACGGATACGTTTGGTGGCTTGGAGGGGCTTATGGTGAGTTGTGAACGAAG